CATTATGGTGTGACTCCCGACATAGTTTGCATTGGCAAGCCTTTAGGAAATGGTCACCCAATGGGAGCTGTTATAACTACAAGAGAAATTGCAGATTCCTTAGGGGAATATTACTCAACTGTAAGTTTTTACTATTGTTTATGTTTTTTTGAGAAAAGTATATACACGCACTCACTTATACCCATGTTTATTTATTCATTATATATTAATTAGATATGATTAGATTTAGTAAACGGGATTTGAAAGTCTTACTAACCTGATGCAGTAAACAGTATTTTTATATGGTAATTAACCCAATGCCGCCAGGTATGACGTGTACGAACGTGCTATGCCCACCATGAGTACTTGTTTGATTGTTTTTACACATAGATGGCAATTCTTGTACTAAATCACCAATGAGCCAACTACGAGTACCACCCGTCTCGCCCGTTTACCCATTTCTTTGATTTACAAAATATTTTACGCAATCTTATTTTGCTGTTACTAATGTTAACCCCTTGGTGCCGGGGGACGCCGATTGGCGTGTAAACAAAGCACTCGAAAGCTGGCGTGCAGCCAAACGAGCTGGCGGCGCGCCAAAGCGCGGCGAGCCAGTGATTCGGGCTGATGTACACCCGGCGCCATTAGGTTAAAAAACATTATAAAAATTATTATGTTTATGATAAAAATATCACCATTGACTTTCATAGCACTAGTGAAAAATACGTTTTTCCCGCCATTTCAAATCAGCCGCTAGCAGAGCCATCTGTCAGCAGACATTTCACAAAAAACATAGAAAGTGGACACAGCATTTTCCCCATTTTTTGTTCATTTTCCCAATGGCATTGGGTTAAACCCTACAATCTGGATGACATGACCATATCACGATAAAATTTGATTTAAAGGGCAGGTGATGCGAAAATGCTGTCGTAGAGAAAATTGGCTGAGGACCATCATTACAATTTTGGCTGAAGGTGACAGGAATGACTCGGCACTCAAGTGCACAAAGCTCTTTGAGGGTGATTAGACTCAGTAGATATTTAGGAAGGGGCTCTATTATTTCCATTGAAAAATGAGTGTGGTATGTACCATCCGTAAGCCATGATTGGAAGAGCACCAGATCCAAGGGAATGCTATTTCTATTCTTAGGATCTTAATCTAGGCCACCATGATCAGGTTGTATTACAGGACTTAATAGGTATATAGGAAGGGGCTCTATTATTTCCATTGAAAAATGAGTGTGGTATGTACCATCCGTAAGCCATGACGAAGAGCACCAGCTCCAAGGAGGATGCTATTTCTATTCTTAGGATCTTATTCCTGGCCACTATGACCAGGTTGTATTACAGAAAATATATTTCAAAAGAATTAAAAAGACACAAATATCAATGTTACTTATTATTATGGTTATTGTACTGAGTTATAGAATACCTAGAGAGATATTGAGTCTACTTAACAAAAACAGTCTCTTACCATCTAGAAACTGTTGTAGCAGCTATGACATGCAACCTGCATAAATCAGGTCTGCATACACCCAGGTTGGGTCACTCCAGGTCCAACAGTCTCTTCTCTGTCACCAGCAGTGCTTCTCACAACTCACTGCTGTGACCTGACTGTTTGACACTGGACACATCACGGCTCCCTGATTAGACTACAGGTTCCCCTGGTTCGCTGATAGAGCTCCAGGATGCACCTTAACCAAGCAGCAGCAACACAAGGGCAGCCATGTCATTTGCCAACTGGGGAGCCTTTCCCCTAGAGAACTCAACAAAACCCAGCCATAATAGTAGGCATCTCACCTATTCAATCACTCCCCTAAAGAGACAATGATTAGTCATGTAGTAGATACATCTCAACTACCACAATTCATATCAAATGACAAATATAGATATTGGAAAATGGTAAAGAAGCTAAAAATTTATGCAGAAAAATAGAAAAGGGATGGATGGAGTCTTGCCACTGTACACAAGTGTTTATTTGCACCTGGCCTACAAGCCACACCCATCTGATTTGCTGCTCAAGTAAGCCCAGTGCCTGGATTTAGAAACTGTCATTAAAATAAAATCCACATGGGAAAATGAAAAGCAGCAGTTGATGTGAACCTTTTAGTTTACTTTATGTAGATGTCTAAAACAAAAATTGCACAATTTGTCTTTAGATTAACCCAATGCCGCCGGGGAAAATTTTAAAAAGATGGGGAAAATGCTGTGCTCATTTTTTATATTTTTATGAAATGTCTCTGCACATAGATGGCTCTGCTAGTGCTTAGCCTCAAAGGCCTTACTTGATTTCGCCTTTCCTTGAATTGGCAGAAAAATCATATTTTTTACTAGTGCTTTGAATATCCATGGTTTTATTTTTATTATAAACATTATTATTGCTAAAATGTTATAAAACATTAGTAACAGCAAAATAAGATAACGTAAAATATTTTCATAAATCATGGAAAAGGGTAAACAGGTGAGACAGGCATTACTCATAATTCGCTCATTGGTGACTTAGTACATGTGTAGCCATCTAT